TGCCATAATTGTCGGTCCAAGCCCAAGTCTTCCCAGGGCCTGCCCTGTGGCAAGCCTGGGTGCCAACCTCCTTGAGGTGCTCTTCCACCTCTTCGATGTGGGGACCGATTACCCTGGTGATTTGACGGAGGACCTTGACCCCTACCTCCCGCTTGGTGGTTTCCCTGTCCGCCAACCCCCTGTGCACCCGGTCCTCGGCCTCCCATGGCCTGGCCCCTTTGGCCCTGGCCTCCTCCTCCTCCTTGCGGCCTCCCTCCAGCCGCGACAGCAGCGTAAGACCTCCCCTGCCCCACACTACTGCCATCATCTTCGAGGCCCCACTCAATCTGATCATACGGGACCTCATCAGTACCACCTTCCTCTAACGTCAGGATCATGTGATCCTTGSCCTTTACTTGGCCTGAGATAGTACGATTTTTCCACTTCTTCCCCTTCTCCAGGTCCTTATGCCAGAAAGTGGTAACTGGCAWAGACTTTGACTCATACAGGACGACCTCCCTACTCAATTGATCATATGTGATGCCGACCTGCTGGGACTTGTCAAAGAAATGCCCGCGTAGGGCCTCTGGGATGGCACGATATAACAACTGGACCAACTGGGGCTCGGTGACCCCGTGGTCCGGGACGGCTACCATGTCGTCCATAGTACCCTTGAGTGCCTTGGCACTCCTCCACTGCCGAGAGTGAATCGTTTGGAGCTTATCAGAGGCTCTAATGCCTCGCGTTGGGTCAGCGAACCGCTCCTTGAGGAGCTTGAGGAATTGAGAAAGAGGAGTAACTTTGGAATACGCAACCAGGTTGTTTTCACAACCGACTGTACGCGCAAGAGACCTGGCGAAGCTAGCCGCTTCATCCTTGAGGGCCTGGAAGGCCACAAGGACTTGTTCCTCGACCAAGATATGCTGCAAATAAATATAACTATTGACACTGGCTTCTCGGTTGTCAAAGTTTTCTTCCTTCTTTCCCCCGTACGCATCCGGAAACTTAAGCTTCACTGGGTCCGTACGGGGCCTGGCCTCTCCCTCTGCGGCGTCTACAGCTTTGGCACCCTGAATGGCGCCCTCACAAAACTTCCCGACATTGTCTCTCAACTGTTTGACTTCGCCCCCAATATGGATGACGATCTCACGTGCAAAGTCTCTAAACCCTGACCGCATGGCACTCAAGGCTACATCTTGGCTCCAACTTGCCTGACGCTCTTCCATCCAGGCCTTGCTCAACACCTCTAGCCCAGTACCTTGTCCCACTTGGCCTTATCATATGGCTGGGCCAGCACCTCCGCTCTACACTCCTGCACCCTTGCCGCTGCTGCGGTCATCTTATTCACTTCCTCTCTCCTCCTCTTCTTCTCCCGCTTCATTCTCAACATCCATGCTAACTTTTGCTCGTCTTCCCTCTCTCTTCGTTCCATTGGGTCTGTCATGGCTGCTAGCTCAGCGGCCAGCGCAGCCTTCTCATCCTTAGTCACATAGGACTTCGCCTCCTCGTCTTCCCCCAACGATAAATTAGCGACCCACTCGCTGATCTTCTTCTCCAGCTCAGTGTCTGTCTCCCACTTCATCGTGCCATCACTGCTCCCTTCTCCACTCTCAATTCTCATTCTCTCTTTCTCTTCTTCTGCTGCCGCTTCTGCTTCAGCAGCCTTCCTTCTTTCTTCCTCCTCCTGTTGTACCCTCTTCATCTCCTCCTCCAACCTCTTCATCTTTGCCGCCTGCTCATCTGCGATAGCCTTTAGCTTCTTCTCGCGCTCTCTTCTCTCTTTGTTCTCTCTGACTAAGGCGGCCATCTTTTCTTGCTGCTCCTTGCTATAGGGGTTAGTCTCTAGCCCAGTATGGGTCTCAACCATGGTGATAGGTGCACAATTAGGATGATTCCACTCCTCACCACGTAGACTCTGATCCCTGACTGACAAACCTATTGACTCAATCTAATGACTCACAGAATCCTGACAAGGATCCTGCCAACTAGGATCTCTAGCCTAGACCTATACTATGGCTGTCACTACTGAACCAGTGGCTGATCAGGAGGCATTTAAGGAGATCCCCCGTAACTCCTCAAGAATTCTTTAACGTCGCAGACAGGACGACGTGATCAGCTTGGTTCTGCTTGTGCTTTCAGCCCACA